TTAGGAAACATAATATTACAAATTCATGAATTTATAGTCTCTACTGAAGGCCAAGGCAGTAGTAGGGGATGGACTTGCTTCTTTTGAACACAGAGCACTGGTTGTTTGAGGCGAATTACATTAGCCTTTGCTGTTTGGAGCACGCGATGCTTCGGTGGTTTTGGCAATTTATTGGGCACGCGGTATATCATACAGAAGGGTTCTTCTACGCTGGTTTTGTGGCCAGTTTGGACCAGATGGTCCAATATCGAACTGTTAATGGTTTTCATTACACCTTTACTTAGCCATAGTGGGAGATGTTCTCGAGCATGAAAAATCAAGTTCCTAGAACAACGGTCGATGTAACTCGCTTCACAAGCGCAGTTGAGTTGGTAGATAAAGTTTGAAATGGCTAGTCTAGGTACTTCATCTTTCAGTTGAAGTAGAACCATCGGTCGCGTAGAGAATAAGACATGTAGTTCGCCAGCATTAAAAGTTCTTTGAACTGATTTTCTTAATCTCCTCGTAATTATCTCACTTGGTATATCGCCCTCGAATTGTAGTCATATGTAAAGTGGCTTGTTGTTTACAGATAGTGAGTAGCCCTTTTCCGCTTTCTTTGTCATGTGTTTCTTGATAAATTTTTCGGAATAGCTATTTTCGATCAAAGTATCATATACAATGCTTAATTCATCTTAAATTACTTCTTCTGAGCACACAGCTCTAACTCTGTGGCTGAGGGCCTTTGCTAAATTTTTTTCGTACTGGAGAGAGACGAAGCTGTGAAAATGTGTATATTGTCCTGTTCTATGCAAATTTCTTTTTATGCTACCATCTGGTTTTCTTGTAAGGAGGACATCCAGGAAGGCAATTCTGTCTTGGGATTCCTCTTCGCATGTGAATTTCATAGATGAATGTACATTGAATCATCCGAATCATTATCAAAAAAGAATGAAGGTGTCATCTATATACCGGCAATAAAATGAGAATTTTCTCATTATGTTGTTCAGAGGTCCATTTTCTAGCTTAAAAAAATAAGCCCATCGCCCCTGGTTCACTTGCCTGTAAAGCGTGCCGTCAAATTTGAAGTTTACATTCATGGTACATCTTAATATCAATTCTTTTAGGACCTCAGTATGTATGACAATGTTCATCGACTGGCTATTCACTTCTTCACATACGTATTTAAACGTTTCTATGAGAGGTACATTTGTGAATAACGATGTTATATCCAGAGATATCATGGTTTTGTCCTTGATATCAATATCTTTTATTTTGTCTACGAATTCAAATACATCTTTGACGCTATATTTCACTATCTTCTCATGCAAAGGTTTGAGAATATTTACTAACCATCTGGTTAGAGCGTGGTAGGTCAAATTTCGCATATCAAGTATTGGTCTTAACGGTACCAGTAGGTAGGCCATACAATCATGGCGTATTCATGCCCGCTGGTCTGATTTCTTCAAATATACTTTCAGAAAATGTCTGCTCCTCCCTTTAGTTTCTTCAAACGTCTGGTTATTTCATTCTCTATTTTGTTATTGAAATCTTACTTCTCCTCAAGTTTTTGAAACTTCTGTGTGTCCTTCAATATATCATTCATCTTTTTAATATAGCCACTTCTATCAAGGAGGACTACTCCTGATCCTTTATCCGGTTATGTGATTATCAGTCTCTCATCATTTACCAGTTTTTTTAGTTCTTCTCTGTGCTCCTTTGTCAAGAAACATTTACTGTCGCATTTGAGGTTTTTGTACTGATGTATATATAACTGTAGAGTCTGATGATGAAGTTATCGAAAAGAGTAATCTTTGTTCAGTATCCATTCTTTTGAGAATCTATTTTCCACTAATCTTGAGGTTGTAAGATAACCTTAGTGAACTTAGTGATGATACAACCACTGAATCATCTTTTTTTCTCTAGTCATATAACTTGCATTGGATATATTATGAACAGAAAACTTTCATGTCTGTCTACATAATCAGGAAAGAAATTTCGGCTTTCCAAACTTTGCCTTGAATGAATTCATATTGGCCTTCTTTTGGCACGAATAATTAGATTAAACACTCAGTAAGTCATTTATAAATGGGAATATTATCTACCGACCCACTTTTAACTCATCTGCATAAATCTGATGAACTGACAATCATATAATATCGCCTCAAAACAAAGTTGTCCTAAGAAACTTTAGTTGGCTACACTCTGTTGGCATGATGTCATCAACCTAGAGTTCATGTTAGAAGACGTCAAGAAACTGACGAACAAACAGAAAGCAGAGCAGTCAATTGGGACAGAACGGCTGTTCTGCTTATCTTTCAGTTTCTGAACTAGGTGAGACAACATTTTTGAAAGTCACGTTTTGGTGTGGGGTACTACTAGTTTACAGATTTTTTAAAAATTTCAGACGCACAAATACAGACATAACCAGTTCACCGGCAATTTATGACATCACTCCTACTTTACACTAGGATCCTTGTAAAGTGTTTAAAAATCTAATGTACCACAGGCTATTGACTGTTTGTTCCTAAATTAAGGCTAATATATGAAGATTCACTTCATTGAGCTATTACTAAATAGCTAAGAATTTCACGCTTTCGTGTCGTAAGTGCCAAACCAATTATATCTTTGAGGTTCAGACAATTTATATTGTGATGCCGATAGAAATGACTGGCAAATGAGCTTGGATTTCCGAAAACTAAATGCACTTATGGTTTCAAATCCACTTACTGATTGCGTCGATTGTCTAAAATTCGACTTTCTATGTAGCTACTGTCAGGTAAATGAATACAACTGAATCTCTAATGCATTCCCTTTTAAATATACACTAAGCAAAGCTGAATTTAAGGTATGAAAAAGTATTATGTTTTTGGGTAAGATAAGACAAAATTTACAGTGTTTAAAATGCTTCCCAAGCAAACACTTTAACAACTACTTTATTTGGTTCCATTTGAAGACTAATTAAATTCTAATTTGTATTCAGAAGTTAGGTTTCGAGATATTAGCTGGGAAAACACTGGAAAGGATTACTAAACAGTCATTTTCATCTTACTCTTCAGCAGTTCTAAGGGAAGGTGGTGGTCATTAGGGGCAATTGATTATTATTGTACAAACAGTTATATGCATTTATTGAAATAGACGGTGAAGGTACTACATCACGAGTTAGCACAAGTCCTGAATTACTGACCATTTAGGTCCCTTAACGAGAGGGTAACAAACTTTCAACGTAGCATGTTGATCTCTGACTTTAATGTTCGTGGTATTGTGGTTGAACAATGCTGTGGAGTCTCAAAATGAGGAGATACAGCTACCTTATATTTCTGATTTCTCATCTGTCCTCTAGTTTGTTTCTCTGTATTGTTAAAACTATTCTTAAATTGAAATTTCAATTTGACCCATTACAATGTTGTATTCATCAAATAATTAGGACATTTTGAATTCGCCTGAAATGAATCCCTTCAAAGTGATGAGAAATGTCACAATCACATACATCTTTTAGGTTTTAGGTTTTCATTTACAGAGATTTGATGATTTCAAATTTGACTGGAGTTTGTGCTATACATCGTGAATTGGCACAAATTAGAATTCCTGAGGCATTGGATTCCGTATCATTGGCTTATTGTTCAGCAAGCTCGAATTGTAATCCGAAAGTCCTGGGTTCGATCTCTAGTGGTGTTATGGATGCGTACTGCCAGGAAGTTCCAAGGTAGGATGAAACAGCTGTCTACGATCCTCTGTGGGTTTACAATGGTTCTCACACTGAAGTCAAGTAGTTACTAAATCTGAAAAATTTTAAGCTTGCTGGTATTCTACTAGTCAAGAATCCATATTTACTATTTGAATTAATGTGATCTGCTTGTGTATAACCCGGTAGCACAAACATAAGAACATAAAAAGGTGCTGCAGTCTTCAATGTATGATTCACTATTGTTCGGTTTTTCAATTTATTATAGTGTTAGGATGAAATTAATTTCCTATGAATAAAAAAACAACAAAATGAATTCATCCAGTTTGTTATCTGCGTCAGCTATACAAGTTACTGCTTTCAACACAAAAGTTATGTCCATCTCGTTTTCCTACACACACCTTTCGCCTTATAATCAAATCAATAATCCATATTTTGCCACAAATAAGACATGACTTTCAAAGCGCTTATTCTATCGATTTCCTAGAAAAAAGACTAGACATACCACAATGCCTTATACCTATTTAAAGGAAAATATTGATAACTTTTGAATTACTCCTATTCATACTTGTCAGCGAATGTCCAAGCGCAAATTTCGCCTACCTCTCAAAGTTGCCTGTTAATGTGCTTAAATGTTATGTAACTGTGCCAGTGTTGTGTGCGGATAGTACTCGTTGTTCACACATGTGCGAGTAGGTTTGTCTCTCTCTCCCTATATGTATATATATATATATATATATATATATATATATATATATATATACAGACAGGCAAGTATGCAGGAGAATAAGAAATTCACCTGGGTATTTTGACCAGTAAGTTACTTCTTCATCAGCATGTCCTACAAATTGTACCAATCAGCAATATTTGACTCCCTGTGTGCGTAAATATTTCCTACCGATGCGGCAACAATTAATACTAGTGTGTGCATGTGATGCCTACAACTATTGACCGGTTGCGTGGGTGCAAAATTAGTGTGACGCATTTAACTGTAAAAGTGATCAGTTAAGCAAAGGTCTCATAAATTTCTTTTTCTACGTCCTTGATTATTATTTATTAAGTCAATAAAGTTACTATTTGAGTATAATATTATGGATAAGAAGGCATAAATACACTTCTCATCGTGCCAGACAAATGATAAACCCAAATTAGTGCCTTTAAATAAACAAAAAAAAAACTATGCATCCTCTTCTAATTGAATAAAAGAGAGATGCATGATTAAAAAATTTCGCTTAGAAATGTCTTCTGTAAACTAATACTGCTACTTTCGGTTTCAAAGAACAATCCCTGTTGTAACAAAAAAGATCCAAAACTCCTTGTTATTACATACATTACAATGACAACGTCCGAACTTGAAGGTGGTCGATTCGATTTCGACGATGGTGGAAGTTATGTTGGTGAGTGGTGTGAAGGAAGAGCACATGGACTTGGTATAGCTACTGGGCCAGAAAATCAAGGTGAATATTCAGGGGAATGGAATATGGGTTTTGAATCTCGAGGTGTATATATATGGCCAAGTGGAAATATTTATAGTGGTACCTGGCTCAAAGGTAAACGTCATGGTGAAGGTGTGCAAATTAAAGGACGTTGGGTATACAGAGGATCATTTACCACTGGATTTTGTGGTCGTTATGGTATCAAGGAATCTCTTACCAGTTGCGCCAAATACGAAGGAAGTTGGCATTTAAACCAGTTTGATGGTTTCGGAGTAGAAACAAATTCCGATGGGAGTAAGTAGTATAACATTTAATTCTAATTTGTTAAATATCTTCGCTTAGATTTTAACTTTTATAAAAAGCGTTTTAGTTAAATTTTATCTAAATCAGAATCTTATCTCAAGATATTCTCACCCTTGTGTTAAAAGTAAGCAAATAAAGTGAATAAAAAGATAGGAGTTATCACTCAAAAGTGACTGACGTTTCTCAAAAATTTGAATGACTCGTTGATTAATTCTTCTGAATAGTTTGTACTGGAACTACTATACTTCGTATAATAAGTGTACAGTGGGCCAACTGAAATGGTAATCGCCTTCAACTTTTTCTTACGTAAAAGACGTTCAAGTTATTTGGAAACAATCATCTGAGTCTATTCTTTTCAGATAAAATGTACCATCATAATTTCGTCAAATAATTAAACTTACAGAATGAAAGAGGAAATCCTGTTAGCTAGGTCTCAAGGAAACCAGAATGTTCACTGGAAGAGCTTAGATACAGCCTAATTGTATTACAAACACAGCCTAATCAGAAAGGTTTCTCCTTCAGAATTATCGTATCTACTGGTCCAAAGCACCTACCGTTTTGTGACCTACCAACATAAGTGATAGCCATCTAAATCAAACCTACAGTAAATACAAAATTCTAACTTTTGATTAAGCTACAAGCGGTGGTTTTCTCTGTCACTGTATATATATATATATATAATATATAATTATAATATATATATATATATATATATGCTAATTATGAATACATTTATTATAAAATTCCAATTCATAATTTTCATATCTTGCTGCAAAATAATAATACACAACTTTCATACAACTGGGAATAAAGAATAAGTAATATTATGACTAGTGCAGTTGATTCATGAGTTGAACGGTCGATGACACCAGTAACAAAGTATTAGCAAGACAAATTAGAGTTAAATGAAAATAATTTTAGAAAAGATAAGCCCCACAAGTTTCAAATCGAATCACACCACCCAATCTTTAAGACATTTTTAATTATCTTCACGGATGCAGGCTGGTAACAGACTGACCTATAAAGTATTCTTTTGAATATCCAATTGCCTCAGTTTTTTTTACTATTGGGATACCTAGTATGTGGTGGATATTAGATTTACTAAATTAAATGCACTTTGTTGAATTTAATTTCCCAGTACACTTATTTGTTCGATAAAGCGATAGATTGTTGTCTGTAATCACATCAATGTTTTAAGACTTTGCCACACAGTATGCCCCAAACATTATGCACCAGGCAATACACTGCGTCAATGTGTACTTTACTAAACAGACGATCTTATATATATATATATATATATATATATATATATAATTATAAAAATTATTTTGAACAAAGCAAGAACTACAGTTTTAGCAGAATAAAATGGTACCATCTTTTATTTCGTTGCCTTCTCGTCAGCTGCTTACATGACAAAGACATTATTAAATATATCTACAACAACAATTTTAACATACTTGCACAGAGTTAAGTTTAAACAAACATCAATCGATCAATATGCTCATACACTAAAAATATATACATATATAAATATGCAATATTAACCACTATTCCGAACAATAATAATCAAACACAATGGAAACTTTTACCATTTCACATTCGGAGGAAAGAGAGGTGAAATTATCCAGTTACCAGGGCAAAGAAAGACTGATAACCGCTTCTTTCTGGACGCATAAATCAGGTTTCAGGCGCTTGATGGAAATGGCTTCAGCAAACTTAAGGAGAATTGAGCTATTTTGCTTATTGATAATTTTGAACGACTTTTCGACGTCCACCTCATGACCCGTGTCGAGGAGAAGATATGAAGTCACAAATGTAAAACAAATCACAGTGGAAAAAAAGCCAGTCTACCTTCAGCTTGATTATAAAGGTGAAAACATTGCAGCAATGATCAACAGAAGGCTGGGTAAATCACTAGCCATAGCCTATCCTGCAGCTAAGCTCGTTCCCATCTATCGAACAACTTGCTCTTTGGTGCAATCAAAAATCGATAGATATCCTTCTCATGTTACCTCCAACTGTGTACACAAATTTACATGTATCTGCGGGAGCAGTTACATTGGAAGGACAGAAAGAAGGGCATATCTACGATTTTCTGAACATGTACCAAAAAGCTTACGTCTAAAGGGAACAAATGCTTTAAACAGTGCCATCACCAGGCATCTCCTCGACACGGGTCATGAGTTGGACGTCGAAAAGTCGTTCAAAATTATCAATAAGCAAAATAGCTCAATTCTCCTTAAGTTTGCTGAAGCCATTTGCATCAAGCGCCTGAAACCTGATTTATGCGTCCAGAAAGAAGCGGTTATCAGTCTTTCTTTGCCCTGGTAACTGGATAATTTCACCTCTCTTTCCTCCGAATGTGAAGTGCTAAAAGTTTCCATTGTGTTTGATTATTATTGTTCGGAATAGTGGTTAATATTGCATATTTATATATGTATATATTTTTAGTGTATGAGCATATTGATCGATTGATTTTTGTTTAAACTGAACTCTGTGCAAGTATGTTAAAATTGTTGTTGTAGATATATTTAATAATGTCTTTGCCATGTAAGCAGCTGACGAGAAGGCAACGAAATAAAAGATGGTACCATTTTATTCTTGCTTTGTTTAAATTCGTTAAGGGGAATAAATGTATGTAATAAAAATTATTGATGAAAGGATAATTTCCTTAAGAAACATCTCGTATCTTGATTATCGAGCTGGTTTCTTTAAAGCTAAAGTCGTGAATCCAGGTGGCTTAGGGAAGTTCTCGCTGAAACCTGATGCAGCAATTTTTTTGAGTATTGCATTTGATAAATTTGCATAGACCAGTCATGGTAAAATTCAAATTAGGGCAGAAAAATGAAGAATAGTAAGCTTAAGCTTAAAGTTTAATGACAAATACAACAATATATGCTTAAAATATATATATATATATATATATTTTATATATATTATATATAATATTACCATGCCTCAAAATGTAGTTTTTATATTAAGGCTTCAACTGACTAATACTAGCTAATTTAAACAAAACTCCTTGTTGGTTAGTAATTTTTTACTTCACAAAACCAATAAGCACGTTACCATGAGGCAGATAGACAGAGTTATTTTGAAGGATATCAAATTACAAGAAAATTTTAAATGTGGTCATGCTTACCTTAACATGACTAAGCAAGTTAGACTGTCCTTGAGTAGCTAAATAAACAAATCAAAAAATTCAATAAACTGTTTGAATTTCTGAATAAATTATGTTTTGGTCCTGTGATAGTGTGCATAGTCATCTCCTTCACTTCGGGTGGCATCTACAATAGGATTAAAAATTAAATTCTCTTTTTTTTCATCGTTTATTTTGTAAGTTATGGAAAAATCCTTAATAACACCTATTCCAAATTCGGCTTTTGTCAATACCTTCTAATAGTCATTATTTATAATTTCAGTGTTATTGTTATGCGCGGTAATGACTCAGGACATGCTCTGAGCTAATGTGAAATATTTAAATCATTAAATTTGCAGCAGATAACTTTTCCTCGGTCTATGAGATAATCATTTAACTAATACTGGCAGTATATCCACATTTTTCACGTGTTAAGGTCACAATGATATGGTACTTTAACCCATAGTGAGAGCTCACCAAAGACAGAAATTTATGTATGCTGTTATGTTTTCCATCATCTTTTACAGACACGTTTCTTTCCAACTTCTTTCGCACACCATTTATATCATTTCTGTGTTTACTTTTAACCCTAGTTGAAATGTTTTGTTTACGCAAACTGAGCTGTAACGTTCGTGTCGGTGCTTTGTTACGCGTAACTTACTTCCTAAGCATAAACTGTCTTTCCTATCACTGCTTTCATTGTTTGAAAATGTTTGTTGTCTTTTTTTTCTGCAAAAATGTTTAAAGTGTTAGTTTATGGTAGTGGTTTCTGTAGGGTGTTGAACATAGATAGTTTCGGTAAATGTTTACTTTCTGCTGATTGGTAAGGCATTCACCATTATAGACTTTATTTTGAAACTGAAGTAAAACGAATTACATCTGTTGACTTACTTATGTGACAACATAAATAAAGTAGTGTTGTATAGGCAGTAAAAAACTACCCAAGTAATTAGGCTCCTGTTGCTTTCGTATTACATTTCAAGGTGGATTCTGACATATATTCGACAATATCTTGAACAGAGGCTCATATGGTCTCTTAAGCCAAAGTGGAAAATTGTTATGCACATTGATCTAACATAAGTATTCTTCCCATCTAGACGTTATTTTATTGGTTGATTGTCCACTGTGTTAACAAGAGAAGAAATAGGAACCACTAAAATGATGGGCTTAATACATAACCAAGTAGGTATTGCCGGTTAAATAATGTCCTCAAATAATAACCTCAAAAATGTACAACTGAGCCTCAGAATTACTCACAAGGCATTTAAATGAATACGAGCAATTTTAGAAGAACCTTGTTTCCAGTGGCTTTTAGTTGTAGGCTTTCAATGCAGCTGCTTGTACCAAAACTTTATACACTTATCTATCAAATTAATATGATAGCAACACTTGAGTTGACGGAGAGTCGCATACGCGACTACGATACTTGTTGCGCAGCTCAAATTTCACGTGTCATTACTTGTACAGGAACTGCTTAAGCACATATCCCATCTTCAAGGATAAATCTTTGCGCATTTTACTGTCAATCTTTTGAACATACTCTACACCGTCAACAATTCTCAGGAATTGGCTGATAGTGTCATTCAGTAAGACAATGTCGTTTGAAAGTAACCTTCATCATTGTGGCAGATCATCACCACCAATACGCAGCTTCAAAAGTGTCCGTACATTCTCATTCTTTAGACCGATGAAAGGAATTACGATGAACATAAACTGGGTTTACTTCAAACACAACCTAGTACTTGTATCAAAAATATAGTGTGGAATCAAGCAATAATAAAAAAATAAATAAAAATAAATTTGGGCTACCGTTATCTAAGGTTTTTGAGATGCTGGCACACGTTTTAAAGAC